TGCCTAATTTTATTAATTATTCACCAGTCAGGCTACGGGGCTTTTGCAGCCAGAATAGGCAAATGCTTTGTTTCTCTCAGCTCACCGTTGCATTTAAATGCGCACAAAATATTTTTCTGGGCTTCTCTTTCTGCTGACAGCCCTCGTGACAGATAAAGTACCATCACACCACAGTAGGGACTTACTGGATATTGCACAGGTTTTTTGACAGCCGCCTTCCTTGTCTTTGCCCACAGGGCAGGCCCCTCTGTGTTACTGATCACGTACAAATATGAGCTTTCCCTTTGGCTTTGGAAGGTTATTGCCTTGGGCTCCTCTGCAAGTTTCCTCCAAAGGCCCGATTTTGAATTTTGTTTTGAGTCACAGAATGCTATGGGGTTGGAAGAGACCTCTGGAGATCATCTAGTCCAACCCCCTGCCAGAGCAGGGCCACCCAGAGCAGGTCCCACAGGAACGTGTCCAGGTGGGTTTGAATGTCTCCAGAGAAGGAGACTCCACCACCTCCCTGGGCAGCCTCTGCCAGGGCTCTGCCACCTTCACAGTGAAGAAGTTCCTCCTCATGTTTAGGTGGAACTTCATATATTCACGTTTGTGCCCATTTCCTCTTGTCCTGTCCCTGGGCACCACTGAAAAAAGCCTGGCCCCATCCTCCTGACACCCACCCTTGAAGGATTTATAGGTGTTGATCAGATCCCCCCTCAGCCTTCTCTTCTCCAGACTAAAGAGCTCCAAGAGCTCCAGACTAAAGGCTCCCTCAGCCTCTCATCAGAGAGATGCTCCAGGCCCCTCAGCATCTTCGTAGCCTCTGCTGTCCCCTCTCCAGCAGTTCCCTGTCCTTCTGGAACTGGGGAGCCCAGAACTGGTCCCAGTGCTCCAGATGGGGCCTCCCCAGGGCAGAGCAGAGGGGCAGGATGACCTCCCTCCACCTGCTGGTCCCACTCTTCCTGATGCCCCCCAGGATGCCATTGCCCTTCTTGCCCACCACATTGCTGGCTCATGGCCATCCTGTTGTCCACCAGGACTCCCAGGTTTCTCCTCAGAGCTGCTCCCCAACAGGTCACCCCCAACCCGTACTGGTGCAGGGGGATATTCCTCCCCGGGGGCAGGACCCTGCACTTTCTTGCTTTTAGTGAAAGTTCCTCAGGTCCCGTTCTCCCACCAGCTGCCAGCCCCCGGAGCCCGTGTGTCCCAACAGGGCCCAGCCGGGTCAGAGGCTGCTGCTGGCAGCGGGGAAGGGAGATTTGCACAATAAACCCCTCGGCTGCGGCGCCGGGAGCAGCTGAAGGAAGCAGATGGATCGGCCGGGAGAGGATAAAGCTCAGCCCCGAGGGAGGGACAGGCGACAGGGAGTCATTGCGGGGACCCCCCCCCCAAGCTTCCAGCCCCCCTGCCCAGGGGCTCGGGGTGCTGGGGGGCCGGTGGCCGGTACCTGGGTGCTGTTGAGGTCGCAGCGGTGTGTGTCTGCGAACCAGCCGGGGCCGGTGGAGCACTGGTCGATGGCCACGTCCCGCAGCTCGATGTCCACCCGCACGACGCCCCTGCGCAGGGGGATGGGGTCACAAAGCGTCCCCATGCCCACCGTGTGCCCCCCAACCCAGCGTGGTGGTGCCCCACCGTTTCCTCTGGGACAGGCACCCATGGGGGTGTCAGTGTATGGACCAGTGGGACAACAGGAGATGTCAGCGATGTCCCCAGACCCCCAGACAGGGATGTCCCCCCTCAGAGATGTCTCTGGGGGTGACCAGAGCAGGGGCAAGGGCAGGGGGGTCACCTGGAGGTGAATTCTGCCTCTCAAGGGGGGGGTGAACGCAAATGATGGGGAAATAGGAGTCTCTGGGGTGGCCCCTTTGTGTCATCCCTCACCCTGGGGGACCAACCCTCCTCCCTGAGTGCTCCAGGAGGGACGGGGTGTCCCCCTTGGGAATGGGGACATGTTCCTTCTCCGGGATTAGACCCAGCTGCCCCCTTCCCTCTCCGGTGCCTCCCACGGGGTGCTGGGGAACCCAGCAGCAGGGACCCACCAGCCTGGGGACACCCCCCAGCTCCCAGGAGCCCAGCTCACCCCCCCCCAGCGTGGCCGTGGCAGGGGGGTCTGGGGGTGACAGCCCGAGATGGTGACACAGGGACAACCGAGGGGGGACTGGGGGCAGCCTGGTGCCTGTGGACGTGCAAATACCCACGCACACGTACATACACACACACATGGCGGGGAGGGACGCAGGCAGGGGACTGGCACACACATGCTGCTTCCACCTGCACCCCCCAGCATCCACATGGGGCACCCCCCAGCCCCTTTTACACCCCCCCACCCCGGTCTCTGAGGGTACCACTCACTTGAATTCGGGGCTGAGGTCCGGCTTGAGCCCGTAGAAGGCGGAGGAGAGCGTGACCGCCCAGGCTGGAAGGAACTTGCCATCCCGGCACTCGAGGAATGGTGGGGACCACCTCACGTGGGCCGGCTCCCCCACGTAGCTGTCCCCCCGCTGCCACTTGGGGGTCTCCATGCTGCGCAGGTCGTTGCTGAGCAGGCGCTTGCGGAGGAGGGGGTTCCTCTGGGATTTGAGGGCGTTGAACCACTCGTTGTCCCAGCTGAGGTTGCCCAGGCCGGGGGCGGCGGTGGCGGAGACGTCCTGGAGCAGGATCTCACCATCCTTTTTGGTGGCCTGGAGCATCAACCGGGGTTTGGCGGCCAGAGGGTGGGCGTCGAGGGCCAACACCGCCCTCCGCACCCATGGGTGCCCCTCGGCCAGGCTGCGGACCAGCGCCTGGTACCACTCCACGTCCTCGGCCACGCTGGCCTCGCGGATGTCGTTGGTCTGGAAGAGCATGTTGAGGAAGTTGGCGGCGTGGGCCAGCGCCTCGGGGGCGGCACGCAGGGCGGCACGCAGCACCGGGGGGGGCCCGGGGCCGGCGGCCCCCACCGCGACCCCCCGGCTGCAGTTGGCCCTGGCCAGGCGTTGAGCATCCCCCGTCTGCAGGAAAGCCAGCGCCGCCGCCGCCGAGCCCTCGGTGTCCCCCGGTGGTCCCGGCTCCGGCGTGGGCGACCACGAGGGCGATGGGGACGGGGACCATCCCGCCGGCGGGGGGG